TCGATCATTCGTTTCGATGGTAAATTGATGCTGATGCACGCGAGGGAGTTATACCCGCCATCAACTTGCTTCTAAATGATCTCGATAGAGGGCACCACTAAAAGCATTGTTAAAGTGTGGGTGCTGTTCGCACTGCTATTCTAAAAATAGTTCTGAACGCTTTCGCCTGTCAGAGGGAGTGAACACGGAAAGGATTTTTGATTTTGAGTGAGCTTCTAAATGAAGCAAATTGTGCAAATAAAGCAAACTTGGAAACCATATCTCTAACGTAAGTATGCTTAGTTTTTCGATCTTGTGGGACTGACTTCAGATGCATTTGTACAGGTTATGTAAACATCCAAAGCTCCATCACCTGGGATAAGTATTAATGGCGTGTTTTTGTGGAAACAAGTTAGCAAAGTAAATACAAAAAAAAAGCATATTTTTTAGTCAATTTTTTGTAGTCCCTCTTAAAGCTCCTCATCGTTTTGCAACGACGAAGTGAAGTCAACGGCACACCCCAAAATCTTTTCCAGTTACAGACTGTATCTGCTCCACTCTGCATGTGTTCACAGCTAAAAAATAAAACACAGCAATTTTATAACTTGTGGCTTCATCATCTTCAACTCCAAAATCTGAGTTCTGAATCATAATATTGATAAATTTGCTTGGAGTCAACGATTTTTTAGCCCTCTTTCCTACAGTCGCCACCAGTAGGATTGGCAGGAATAATTGCTGTTGGCAAAGTATTGTCACCCAGACCAATTCCGAGTAATTTTTTTGTTGTATAAAGTAAAAAGAGATGATTTTGATATTTAAGGTCGAAAATGCACCGTGATATGTCTATACACATGTTTGGATAAGTCCGGCTAATTGTTATCCCGAATCATGAAAGCCCAGAAAAAAAAATAAATGAACAAATTCCAGACCACCTTTTCTTTATGGTTCATTTTGGTAGTTGAGAAAGGCGAGCAATGAAGAGAGCGGATATGAACTGAAGCGCGGAACTTAAGGCCGCAAGGTTTGAGCAAGTGCATCAGAAATCCTCGTATCTTCAGGTAATTTCAAAGTTACACACGGATAATTCGAGCGAATTTAAGGCCCTGATTGTGACTTCTACATTACATAAATGTTGTTCCATGAAATTTTTTAAGCAAAAATATTTTCGATGTTTAGCAAACACTAGTAACATCTTGAAGCGGCTAAATTCTTGCCAAGTATTTCTACCGGGAGAATTATTCAGCTGGCAATTCCGACGGGAGACGATCCCAGCATCAGCAAAAGCAAATGGTAAACTCGCTAGCTATATAGTTAAAAAATATCGCTGAGCAAAGTAACTAAGTAAACAAGCATGCAAGATCAATTTGATAAATAAGCAAATAATTCAGGAAGTAAATAAGAGGTTTCTATAAGCTTAAATAAAAACCATTTTTCTTACGAAATCATGTATGAAACAAATTGCCTTTGGAATAAAATAAAATAGATATATTGTCTGCATCAGGAAGAACTGGTCCCTGAAAAAAGAGTAACTAAAAACCAAGACGAAATGTAAAGAAGGAACTTACATACCAGCAGAGCTGAATATTGCTCTACGATTCAGCAAATGTAAACTGTTCCGAACAAATAACGAACCCATCCTGAAAACAAGTGGAATTCTGTTAGAAAAATTTACATATTTCATTACAAACTGCGTGTCATAAGCACAGCAAATTTCCAAAAATCAGCCTTCCTTTTTAAGCGTTTTCTGCTGTGTAACAGCGATACACCAAGGCTGCAACGCACCGGGTGGGCCCGTGCGATCATGCGTTTTTGCACCGAAATTGAAGTGCTCCTGTCATTAGTTAATGCATGAATGATTGTTGCTTCCCACCTACCTTTTGTGACCACCAGCATAAAAAGACAAAGCATTAACACGAGGAAAAGCCAAAAAGACAAAGCATTAACACGAGGAAAAGCTATGCATAAAATAAATGCGCAATTTTCATCTAATGGTCGTTTTTTAAAAGTAACCTAGCTGTTCAGTGAGAAATTTTTCGTCAAAACTTTTAAATGCTTATACGTAAGAACCACACATATGCCAAGGCTGAATTTGAAACACTTAAATTGCACTTGGGCAGGGGACATTCCCCCAATATTTCAGCTTTCTAGCTTTCCTGGTTCTCGAGTTAGCAATTTTCCCACCAAAACTTCCATATGCCCTTACTTGAATGCCATGCATATCTAGGGGCTGAATTTGAAATCTTTAGCTAGTACATGCATAGGGAATATCACTACAAAGTTTCAGGCTCTTACCTTGTCTAGTTTCCGAGATCGCATTTCCGCCAAAAAATTTGCATATTTTTTGGAAGCGTCTGTATGCGGCACCCAGCCGTTCGCAGGGGATAATTTTAAAACGGGAAGGTCGCGCATGGTATGGGCACATACTTCTGAAATTTCAGCATTTTAGCTTTTCTGGTTCTTGAGTTGAAAGCAGGTGACAAAAAGTGCGAACACACAGACACACACACGCACACATACAAACACACACAGCCTCTTCCCAATATGCGATTTTGCAATTTGTACATATGGAAAAACGCATAAAAATGCTTACTGTACGGGGTGTGTGTGTGCCCGCAGCAACTTGTCCGCAACTTTCAATTCGGGAACCACAAAAGTTGCGGAGCTAAAACTTTATCGGTATGTCCGCTGCCCACGTGCAACCTCGAAAATTTGAATTCATCCTTTCCGTGCCCGCGGGCAACATGCACGGTCCCGCAAAAGTTTTGGAGGGGAAAATTGTTATCTCGGAAACCACGGAAGTTAGGAAGCTAAAATTTGATGGGTGTGTCCCCTGCCCATATGGGATTCAGAAAATATAAATTCAGCCTTCCCGTACCTGCGGGTAACATATACGGCCATGTGAAGCTTTTGGTGGGTAAATTGTTTTCTCGGGAAACGCGGAATCTAGGGAGCTGAAATTTTGTGGGTATGCCCTCTGCGTACATGCAGCCCAGAAAATTTAAATGCAGCCTTTCCCGCATCCAACAGTAACATATACGGCCCGGTGAAACTTTTGGTGTGTAAATTATTTTCTCGGGAACTGGGGAATCTAAGAAGCTAAAATTTTGGGGAGTATTCCCAACCCAAATGCAATCCCTCGAATTTAAATTCAGAGCAGTGAAAATCATTGACAGGCAATCGTCCGGTGGACGAAATTGCACTGAATACATGACTGCACTAGCTGCTTTAGTGTGCGCAGCTATTTATTTTCCTCTTCCTCTCCATTCACCCTCTCTCAGTTCCTCAACTTTAACCTCTCTACTGAGAAGTTGTTAAATAACATCACGCATCACGCACTAAAGCGAGTATTTTTGACTTGTTATTGCGAAATGATGGTTTCGATTGTTTCTTAGAACATGCAACTATAAAAAGAAACTCCTAAACTAACTGACTGAAAAGTTTTATTTACGACTGCACAGGCATCGAATAGACGGTGGGCAAGCAACCTTGGATCGAATGGCCTGGCATCGTTCCAGTAACATCACTATCATGGGATACCCAAACCCAACGTCCACACCCAGTGTCCGAGCGGTACTGTTCATTTTGGTCTTATTTTTACTTAATTTGGTGAATTTCAGACAAAATCTTTGCATTGAATTTCTCTATTATTTTCAATCGAAATTCCTATAGCGATAATTTTGGGTGAAAATCTACGTTACCATGGGTGCATTTTGGAATTTTTTGCAAGAATCAGTTCTGGAGGGGCTCAGTGATAAAACAGCAACTAATCAAACGATCAGTGGAAGTGATAAAAACAAGCACAATGATATGATAAGAGTGAGAGGAGAGAAGAGAGTCGTGAAACGTGAGAAAAGATCCATGAAAAGTGTGATGTACAGCAAAGCTGAAGTGAAAAATGCGTCAGCATGCAATCCTGCGAGTGGTGCGGCCATTGAAACGATCAAAAAACATCCATGGAGTAAGAGAGCAGTAGCGAAAGCGCTGAACGTCGCCACTCGGCACGAGCAGAGCCAGCCGCGCTGTTGGGCGTTGATCTGATAATAATGGAGTGGGAGGTGGGGGAGGCTAGGAAGAGGGGCTAGGATTGCCGCACAGGAAGGAGGAGGAGAGCGGCAGGATGCAAAGGCGAGGGCCTTGCCGATTCCAGTTTTTTTACGGGAGAAAAATCTCGCTCTCACAGAAACCATAAGGAAAACTTCCTAGACATCTAAAAGTACTAATAGACATTGTGAGAGGGATAGATAAAACGACCTAGGTAAGTACGATTCTTTTTCTCTTAGGGAGGTCAATTTTCGCTTTTGTATGAACTGCTACAGTTCCAAAATTTCGCTAAGCAATATGAAAAGCGGCTGATGTAATACACAGTTATTTTGATACTTTTGCTTTGATACTCTGAATTGAACAAAAATGCATAAACATACTGGTTACGAAATGAGAGAAGTATATGAAGATGATATATCTGATACATTCAGGAAGCGGCCTTTGTTTCATCTCCTATTGGACTGAGAAATGATTAAATTTTCATAACTGAGAAAGTATAAAATGATGGAAAATCGGACTCAGTTCTATGAGCATTTTGGCCGAGCTGTGAAACGGTCTGGTCCAAGGAGTAGCCAGCTTGAAAGCCCCAGAGCGAAATGCGCGACAAGAGGAAAAAGAAGTCGAGGGAAGAGGATGACGATAGCGGTGGAAAAGCTGGCACGGAACCCGAAGAAGCGCAATCCCCCTCTAAATGTCTGCAGCCCTTACAGCCGTTCCAGGTTATTGCATGAATGAAGGTTTGCTAAGTCTATCAGTAGGAGTATTAATGGATTTTCCTGCAAAGTTTTTGAAGTCGAAAATTTGAAAAGTCACTACCGCGACATTGCATTTTTTCGGAAAATTTTTAAAAAATTCCGAAAAATTTTTAGAGAAAAAGACCCTTTTTGATGCAGTACTTTTCTAGAAGACTTTGGAAAATTGCAAAAATCTTTCAGGCAGGTGTTCATTTAGGTCTGAGAAACAGCCCTTATGTCGTAAGGCATTATTCCGCATTTTTTGCTTTCCAAACCGCGTATTTGACCTCATTATTTTTAGGACACAGTAATACTGAGGAAACCACTCGGCATACGAATTAACAAAGCGACGCTGGAGGTAAGTTAACAAGCTCATCTTGAATCACCATTTTCGGTAAAGAAAATCTCACTGCCTATAATGATAGCTGGTAAAATGAGGAATTCAGTACGTTGATGACTAGGCGGTATAGCACTCGAGTAGTTCTCCTAACACGTCACGATCTGAAGAATCTGGAGATAGCGAAGACAAAGATCCGATTCCCGGTTTATATCCTTTGCAAAAAGGGGCTTTGCTCGCAACAACTGGCCCAAGCATTTCAAAAAGTTGCCAGCTGCATTGGTACACTAGATCATAACTGCAGTAATCGGAGCATCAGAATAAGTATCCTATGAATGTATTATTAAAAGTTTAACCTTCAAGATTTTCTTTTGTACTGGCTCTCTGTGAGGCACGAAAATATCCGAAATTTATTGAGTACTAGAATTTTGAGAACAACAGCCACTTGCTAAAGCCAATCATCTTTCAAGGGTTACTAAGAAGCAAGCTGAAAGATGGAGTACTTAGCATGTAACCAATTTATTAGTGCTGGATTCAATATAGCACCTAGATTTTGTGAGCTGGCCTCTTTTCCATTGTACCCACCTCGTCAGCGAACAATATTATCAGAAAGACAAGTTCTGTTCGTTCCTTCAGCGTTTCAACTGTGCTTTGAGGGTAGGCTGATGTGATTTAATCCTAAGTAAGCGATAGAAGGAGCCATCGGAGGCTTAGTCTTGGCAATATCGGGTAATTTCCAAGTGTTTCAACCTTTCGTAAGAAGTAAAATACGGCCTGTATGCAGAAAACAGTGTTGGCAGAGAAGAAGCTGACAGGCATGTTTATCTTGGCTAATAAGAAGATCCATTACTTGAAGGTAACATATGTGGATGAAAATGGAGCATCAGTTGGACGAGCAGAAGTTGGCGATAAAATTATCGCGATCAATGGGCATGAAATTAAGCATCTCAATGAACTCAACAATATGCTCAGAAATACTGGAGAGGTGAACTGAGTGAAATTCAAATTGCGAGCGCTGCTGGTGATACCTTGGTCAGGAAATAAGTTTTGCTGACTGTGACCAAAATTGTCAAAACTGTCAGTGCGCAATTATTTTGGAAATGTTTTGCTTCGACGTATCCAACACCTACGAAAGGCTTAGCAGTTTTTGGTTTCATTTCGTAACCTGATACTTACTAATCTTAGCAAAGGCTAGTCAGCGGTGAAAAGGTTTATCGACCTTAAAAAAAAACTAACCTTCCCAAAAAGAAAAGGATGGCTTCCACAATCTCTCCTAGTCATCTTTTTTGGTTCCACTTTGTGGCCTGACATTGTCTGACATTGTCCTAACTTTGGAATTGTCTTATCAAATTTAAGACAAATGATTCCTTCAAAAAAATGGATCGCAAGGCAAGTCAAAATTGCTTGTGGTGCTTTGAAATAATATGGTAATACCAGTAACACGGGGCGGTTTTGTTTCCTCGGTCATGACTTACAGGCTCCTAAAATCATATTAAGCAAATTCTAGCATATATGTCTTCTGTCCTGCTCATTATTTCACTGGCCTTCTCTGATTTTCTTTCCTTCTCAAAGTTTTCTTAAACATTTTTTGGATAGATTCATTTGGTCAATCAGTTTTTCTTCTTCTTTCAGTTACGTCTGATTGTAAAAAGTCGCGGTGGGCTCGAGATATTTTAATACTCTATTCAGCTGTTGTCACATTTCTCGCCATTGATTTGGTTACAAACTTCTCCACTCTCTCCATTTTAGGCTTCCCTCACCCACATATGACTGCAAATAGCCCTTCAAACGGATCCTTTCATTGTGTTGGCGGCCCTGCGCCCTTTTCACATCGTCATTGCCATTCATTAATCATGAACAAGCTAGGGCAATTTGAACCTCAAACTTGGGCACTTTGTCGAAAGCAAAACAAATTGTTTTATTTAGGTGATAGCCGTTCGTTTCCAGCGCCGCTATTTTTCGAAATGCAAGCACAAGCGGACATACGTTGAAAAAATAGGCGTAGTACGTGGTCGTGAGATGAAATGTACCGGGCGCGCCATTGATTTGTATCTGGTAAGTGATGAAACTGAAGGAAATTAAATTAAAACGAATTCCCAGAAGAGCTCTAAAACGCACTTGCCGTGAAAAAAAAAATGCCATCGTTCTGACTGAAAATAGAATTCCACAGCGACGTTACAACTTAAAAAGCTAAAGCTTTTCCAGATTAAGTATGTGAAAAATTGCAACCCTATATAAGTTAGATGTGGCAGGTAAATCAAGGGCGACCTGGCAGTCCGTGTGAGGATCCTACGTTACTTACATTACTGAATACTACCACGTGCCAGCATAGCTACGCTAAACTTTTCGATTCTGAATTGCACACTTTCAACTCAGTAAGTTAAGATTGCAGTCATCGGCTATTCCACACTGCTGATTTGAATGGCTTGATGTTTAGCGAAACGCAATCGCTTTTCAAGTTCGGTTATGCTAAATCTATTTGAAGCTCCTCCCAGTGATATGTTCCCTACAGGCCACCACTGAGGTCTGGCAAACGATACGGACTGTGCACTACTATACACAATAAGTAAAACAAACATATTCCATGAAATGCCTGGAACAGCTTTAAAGTCTTCATGATCTGGTTCTCCAACTATGCATCTGGCAACTTTTCAGCTGCTCTGACCAGTGCTGCATCGCCCGATAGTTAACCTGCTGACGATCCTGACATTGTTTTTGCCTCCTTAGGGGATTACCAGCTCAGCCGTTACGCTAGCACATACACTTGTCAAAGATTTAGCCACTTCTAGATTCCTATGGTGTGTATGTTGAGCTCAGTCATTCGTTCCGAAATTATCAGTCATAGACCACAGTGAAATACTTTACCCACTAGTAATACACATATGTAATTCAAGTATGTGCATATACTATAAGTGAAACGTGGATACCTATTTGAATTCACTCATGTACTGGCATACGCTAGAAAGTCAAATCCGCCATCAGCTTGCTTCCAAGCAGCGCTCGAAACACTTCCGAGTGCTTTTGACTCTCGCAGGGAATGAATACGGACGGATTTTCGACTTTTAGTGCACAAACACGATTATTGTGCTGCATCAGCAATAACAGCATTTAAATTCATTCTGGTTTTCGTCATTTTTCGAGGATATCCACAACTGCAGGACTCGAATTCAACAAAATAACTCAACCGTTTAATTGCACTTAAATCAAGTTTCAGATTTTGTCACTTGAATCCGGTCATATGCCTTCCTGGCTTGCTACTGGTTTTGGTGCTCAGCAACACCTGATCTACTTTGGTAGTATTCGCAGTTTGAAGTTACAAGATTCACTCTTTCTTTCAATTTTGGTGTTAAAATTTACAGGTTCAAATAGGCCTGCAGCTTAGCGACGGAATGAACGCCAAAGAACTACTTGGGCTGTCAGTGAAATACGATGCACGAGAAAGAATCCAGGTGGCCGCCGTTGAGAAGAACAGCCTTTCTTCCATACATCTACGACCCGGCGACATTATACGGTGCTTATTTACTTGTCTGACGTTGTAGGAAGAAGTAGCGTTGCTGTCGTGCAGAAAGGGCAAAGTTTCATTTCTGCCAGTGGAACAGCCAGCCTCTCTATGAATTGTTCATTTGATTTTGCGATGAATAGGTACACTAGTGAGTCAAAACCGAAAGCAGTAGGCTTGTAGATAACCCCCGAAAGAGGGAGCCGTTGTTCGTTCTATTCACATCCGAATTAATTTCGATTGCCTTCGCAATTCAAAGAAAATGATTTAAAAAGACCACTAGTGCTATCTCATTAATGGTGTAGTCTAGGCGCTCGTCTTGCCTAATGAAGGCATTAGCGGCCCCCTGACTGAAGAAAAAAAAAAAAGATTTCATCAAATTAATATTCTTGCTAAAAAAAACGTGGAAAACAAAGTCCTAAATCAA